GACCGTTATGCACGCGAGCGTGCTGACGTGAGAGTGTCGAAGTTGCGTGACACTGCGGCCTGCATCGCCCTCAGCAGCCTCCTCCCTGAGTCTGAGGAGACCCACTTCACTCAGGTTCGCATGGCTAGTGAGTTCCTGACTGCTATCAAGGCCCGCTACGCTACTCCTACCACTGTCTCTCTTGGTCGCCTGTTCCTTCCGTTCCTGTTTCCTGACCTCGCCTCGTTTGAGCGCACTGCTGACTTGATCACTCATCTGCACTTGCTCGATTTTAGCTACCGCGCTGCTTGCACTGACGCACAGCTTGCACTGCTCCCTCCCCCCATGGCGATTACTATCTATTTCATCGCCACTAGCCTCCCAGACCGCCTTGCCTCGGTTCGTGATGCGCTTCTTCTGAAGCACCCTAGCGAGCTCACTATCGAGGTCCTTGAGTCGGCCCTCAAGGACGTCGAGAGCAACCTCCGCTCGGTAACCTCTGCCTCTAGTGTTGTGCCCCCTCCACTGTTCCACGGGTGCACTGTCCCTCAGCTACCCACCTTTACTGCCTCCCTCGCCACTGCCGCTACTAACGTGACCGCAGCTGCTGTTACGACTTCTTCGCGGTCTCGGGGTAGGAGTGGCAGGAGGGGCGGTCAGGGTGCGGGCGGAGGCGGCGGAGGCGGTGGGGGTGACGTGGCGAGCGGCGGCGGCGCGAGTGCAGGCGCTGGAGGAGCGCCTCGTGCAGCGCCCGGTGACTCCCCCGCTGCAGCTGGTGGAGGTGACGCATGGGTTCGTCAGCCACCTACTGGTCTGCCAGCCGCAGGGGGTGGAGCAGCGGCGTGGTACCTGACTCAACGACAGCAGCAGCAACAGCAGCCCCTCCCCTCGCAGCAGCCACAGCAGCAGCGGCGGCAGCAGCAGGTTTCGGGGCAAGGGTCAGGACAGCGTCAGCTGCAGCACAGTGTCGTCCACCCTCCCTGCACCTATCACGTTCTGACAGGTGCCCGCCGCAGCCAGCCTTGTGGCCGCAGCCACCCACCGGGTCAGTGCTTTGCTCAGCTTACTGACACGGTTCGATTGGCCTACAGCGTTGACGGCCCTGCCCCTGACTGGCTTCCCCTTGTTCAGACGTATGGCCCCGCTCTGTGGGGCATGTCGGCTTCTCAGTTGGTTGATCTCTTAGGAACTCCTCATGCTATGTATGCTGTTTTTGACTCTAGTGCTTCTGGCTCTGTTTACTCGAGTGTTGTTAGCTTAGGTGCTAGTCTTGCTGAGGTGCCTATTGCTAGTGCAGGTACTTGTGTAGACACTAGTTCAGGAGCTGCTCCGTAGGACGCTTCGCTGTCTTTCACTTTGGACTCCGGAGCTTCCCACTGTTTCTTCCGCGACCGCACGACACTTACCCCGCTTCCTACGCCGGTCTCTGTAGCACTGGCTGATCCCACTTCGGGACCAGTCACTTGCTAACTCATGCAGTTATTATATAATTCTGACAAAAAGGACTGCCACGTCAGAAGTACGGGCACTTTGCTAACCTCAACAGAGCCACCGACCGCGCAAGAACCTGCTATGCCTAGGAATGAAGGGGAGTGTTACGGAGTGAAATATTATTGGCATTCCTGGTCGTAATAGAGTCAGGTTGGTCATGATGGGTATGAAGATGAAGGGGCGTGATGGGTCGAAGGGTCGAAAACGGTTATGATTGAGACAGTTGCTGGTAGAAACATCACAAAGGGAAAAGGCTAGAACCGGTTCGAACGGTTACCGCATCGCACGATTGGGATGCAACTATAATGAGTGAATGTACCCTTTAGAGTACATGGCTAGTTAGGACTACTCGAATTCCCATTCGTTATCTTAAATAGAACCACTGCATCTCTCTGTTATAATTAATTTTGTCATTTTACATTCACTCGGACAGGTATCACTAACCAACACTTGTGCTACGCTCTATCTGCGAACAACCCAGAGCAAGATCCTGAGTAAGTCCTCTATAGGTTATAACATACACGTCATTGGATATCGTATTCGCCCCGATAGTACCGGGGGTTTAAAGCCCAAGGCCCAAATGACAAAAAACGAAGGCAAACTGTGCACAGTTTGCCTCCCGCAGCCCACAGTTTTGCCCCGCATTGACTTGCGTTGAGCAATTCAGCTCTTGGGCTTTAACGCTGTCATTACCCCGAGAATGGGGGAGGTTCTTAACCCTAGGTACGTTTTCATTCAACCCGGGTTATAACCCATTGTGTTTTTGTCTGTATGTGCGTGTGTGTGTATGTGTGTGTGTATATATGTGTGTGTGTGCGTATGTGTGCGTATGTGTGTGTGTGTGTGTGTATGTGTGTGTGTGTGTGTGTGTGTGTGTTGTCAGGATAGGAATGTACGAATGATGGACTAGGTAGGAAGGATGAGTACAAGTACTACCTAACCCTGAAGTGTTGTACCCTTTAGGGTATGCCCCACTACAGCCTACAGATAACAAATACAATTTGACACACCCCCTTTGTCAAAGTGGGGGATAACAAACACAGCGGACGGTCACAAGACCAGTCAAGCAAGAGAACAAAGCAAAGCAAAGCTAAGGGTGGATCTCAAGATCACCACGCATTCAGAGCACAAGCAAGCGGCCACAAGGCCAGTTCAAGCACAAGCAGTACAGTGATCACAACCTAGCAAGAACAAGCATGCAGGTATACATATATATATATATATATACATATATATCACAGTACAAGAGAAGTCAAGCAACCAGCAGGTGAGGCAGAGTAGGCACAAGGCCTAGAGCAGTGCAGAAACGCTGATGATCACCACACCCACGGGCCTTGGTGAAGACATCACCAGTGTTGGCCCGAGAGGCCACGTAAGCAAGGCGCAGCTGACCACGCTGGAGCTGGAAGTGCTGGAGCTGGAGGTGCTGCTGGTGCTAGAGGTACTGGAGCTTGAGGTGCTGGAGGTGCTGGGGCTAGAGGTGCTGGAGGTGTCGGAGCTGCTAGAGCTGCTGGTGCTGGAGGTGCTGGAGGTGCTGGAGGTGCTGGAGCTATTAGTGCTGGAGGTCCTGGAGGTGCTGGAGCTGCTGGTGCCGGAGGTTCTGGAGCTTCTGGTGCTGGAGGTGCTGGAGCTGGAGGTACTGGGGGTGCTGGAGCTGGGGTTGTTGGAGCTGCTGACGGTACGGGTACTGTGCCGCTCCGACCGTTTTTCTACCCGCAGCCGCAGTCGTCCCTGCCACCACCTGACTCGGCCCTTCGCCAGGTTCTTAGTCTCCCGTCTTCCACTGGTCTTACTCCACCTCTCCTGTGTCCACCGACAGACCAGTCTCAGCCCCAGCTACTGCCTGGCTCCCCGCTGCCTGCTCCTGCTCCTCACACTTAGGTGACAGAGTCCTTGACTGAGCGTCGTGAGCCTGAGACTCGTGCTTCCACACCTGTTCCTCCTGCTATCCCAGGCACTCACGTTATGGCACTTCGTCCTTCCTCTGTTCCACAGCGTGTTGCCCTGCCGTCTCCTCCGGAGTCCTCTCTTCCTGACATTCCTGACCCTGAGTCTAACCTTGCTCGTGCTGCCAGTCCTACTGTCACTCGTCTCCTCACTACTGTCGTCACTAACCCTTACTTAGATTCTACTGCTGCGTTCGCCCTAGTCACTGAGCTAGTCGACTTTGCTGCTAGGAGTTGTCTCGAGTGCGTCGCGAGTCTTGTTACCGAGTCTGAGTCAGTCTGTCCTCTGTCAGTCAGGGGTGAGCTTGCCCTTGGCTGTGACGTCGTTGAGGACAGGCATTTTGAGCATGAGTGTCTCGCGACCGTTTTACCTCGTTTCGCGTCCATGCTGCTTTGCTCTGAGGGAGACCCGGATGCACTTGACATCCCCACCCCGCGCTCTTACGGAGAGGCGATCACTGGTGAGTACTCCTCTCAGTGGCAGACAGCCATGGATGCAGAGATGGCTTCTTGGAAGTCCACAGGCACCTACGTCGACGAGGTTCCCCCTCCTGGGGCGAACATAGTCGATGTCATGTGGATTTTCAGAGTGAAGCGGCCGCCGGGTTCTCCGCCTGCCTTCAAGGCGCGTTAAATTGCTCGAGGCTTCAGTCAGCGACAGGGGTTCGACTTCTTCCAGACCTTCTCCCCCACCCCGAAGATGACTACTCTTCGGGTGCTGCTGCACGTTGCAGCACAGCGTGACTACGAGCTGCACTCCCTCGACTTGTCCACAGCTTTCCTGCAAGGCAGCCTTCACGAGGAGATCTGGCTGCGCCGCCCACTTGGCTTCACTGGGTCATTTCTAGAGGGTACCAAGCGGAGCCTCCGGCGGCCAGTCTACAGTCTCCACCAGGCGCCCCGCGAGTGGCACGATACACTGAGGACGACACTTGCGGCTCTTGGGTTTGCTCCTTCCACTGCTGACCCGTCGCTGTTTCTACTCACCGACCCTACTCTGTCGTCGTTCTACATCCTCGTTCACGTCGAACGCAGATGGGAGCAGGGTTCGTACCCGACATTCACTAGCAATCTTCTGCTACTACAAGACTCGCGATCAACCTGAGACGATCATACAAACGTCATTTTAGATTGTAACACCTTCGATCTTATCTTATCCAGACACATAACTTCTTGGGCTTACTCCATAGCGATATGCGTTGTATACGTTGCGTAGAGCTACATCGCTACGAATTGTTGTCCTGCATCTATGTACAACAAATCTCGCCGCACACCTTGAAGATAGACCGCATTCTTCACCGGGTCAAGGAGGGGCAGGCAGTACTGCAGGCTGATCAGCAAGACAGGTTGAGGCCTGAAATTCTTTGAGACGTGTGAGGGCTGTAGCGAGAAGCAGGTTGCGATGTGGAGGGAGCAGCCGGTGCCATGCAACATACCCTGCGTCGAGAAGGGGCCGGCGGTACTGCAGGCTGTTGGGCGAAGCAGGTTGATGCCTTGAATGAATGCGAGTAAGTGTGAAATGCGGCACTTACCACCACCACCCTGCATCATGCAGGGAGGGGCAGCAGGCAGGTGCAAAGGGGTCTACCCCGGGTCGAGGAGGGGCAGGCGGTACTGCAGGCTGATTGGGGAGGCGGCGTATTGGAAGATCATGAGGAGACATGCCTCGTTGGGTGCCACCCCTGCTCACATGCACGGAGGGAGCGGGAGGTGGGTGAGAGGGTGGTGGCATTCAGCCTGATTGCATGGTGGTGACAGGAGCATGCAACAAGGGGATAAAGTATCAGATGGGAAGATCATGCTGGCACGCCCCGTTGGGGGCCACCCCTGCTTGCATGGTGGGGGGTGATGGGGGTGATGGCGGTGATGGGGGTAATGGGAGTGATGGTACATGGCAGGCGGTTGAGAATGTATTGGAAGATTATGAAACGTAGTGAAGGCACGGACTGAAGAGACGGAGTGAAAGCATGGACTGACCGCAGTAGGAGGCATCGGGGCGGGTGAGGTAGCACTGCAGGCTGCGGGCGAGGTGCTTCACACTCACTGACTGCTCGGGGGGGTAGATGCGTGAGGGGGAAGGGGGAGGGGTGAGATGGGGGAGAGGGGGATGTGGCCGGGATGGCAGGGGGTGAGATGGCACCACACAAGGGAGTGCTTCACACTCACAGAGGGCAAGGTGTGGTGTGGACTGCAGAGGACAGACGAGAGGGACGAGAGATGGGAATCTTGGGAAATGACGGCAATCTGAAGCAGGTATGTAATGTGTCACATCGTGGCACCAAATCACATGACACAGGTAGATGAATGAAAGACGTGCTGTGAGGCAGGACCATGCTTTAAGAACCAGGACGTGAAGCTGTTAGATGAAGTCCGATTTGCAAATGTTTAAATTTTAACCCTGTAAGAAAACTCCTACTCCACGTGCTCAGCTCACAGCTCACAACCACTGCAGGAAGACACATTCCTACAATCCTAAAGCACCCCTCTGCCTTAACGTGCTACCCAAGCCTCACCACGACTGTAGCATCGCCTGTCGCTTGCATTTGTCTAAGCCGCGTGGACAGCCCCGATATGTCTGCATCGTCTTCTGCGCCCCCCCCTTGCCTGCTGCCCTCCCCCACTCCCGCCCCACTCTGCTGGCTCTCTGCTCCGTGGTATCAGGTGTGGCAAGGAGTGGAGAAGGTTGGAGTGGGGTAAGAGGGATGAAGTGGAGCAGAATGGGGGATTGGTGGAGACGAAAGAGAGCAGGGAAGCGAGGGGGCAGGGCTTGGCAAGCAGAGCTTGGCAGGCAAGGGTCAAAGGAATCGTTTCGGTTGCATCGGAACCTGAGTTTGCACCTCCAGATCTGCATATGAACCTCCTATATCGCGGCATCTGAGATTATTGAACTTCGTGGGGACGGTGATGTTAAAATACTAGCGTGAGTTAGGAGCCATGGCTAGGAAGGATGTCGAGAGAGTTGAGTGTCGAGAGAATTGGAAAGGAGAATGAGGGTTTCACTAGCAAGAGTTGGGATACAAGTACAACACTCTAAATTGGGTTGTACTCATTACAGAGTACCCCATTGCAGGCTAGACAGCAAATACATTCTGACACACCCCCATAGTCAAAGTGGGGTATAATCAGCAGAGCAAGCAGTCATAGAGCAGGTTCACAAGTACAAGCAAAGCTAGAGGCATACACAAAGGGCAGGTGAGGAGGAGGCTGGACTGTGAGAGGAGAGGAGATAGGAGGCGACTGCTGATGCTGCAGACACACGGGCAACAGGAGCGGCGCGCACTGTGGCTACCGGGGCCGTATCCCCGGACTACAGGAGTAACTGGCTCTGCGGCTAACTCTGAGCGGCAGGAGCAACGGACCCACAGGCGACTGGCGCAGCAGGCTCGCTGGGCTACCGGAGATTGTAGCCTCCGGACTACTGGCGCTGCTGGCGACACGACAGGTACCTCCGCTCAACCTCCCCCAACTGTCCCACCCCCCCTTTCACACACCCCTTGCTGCACCCCTAGCTCCACTCCCACGTCACCCCCCTAGCACCACTCCCTAGGCTCCCACACACCCACCCCCCTCAGCGGCAGCTGCAGCAGTGGGAGACGGAGGAGGAGGAGGAGCAGGGGACGGTTCACACACCCGCCACCCCCATACCCGCCACCCCGCAGTTGCACCCACACCCGCCACCCCCATACCCTCCCCCACTGCTGCACCTGCAGCAGGGGATGGAGAAGGGGGAGGGGTGGGGGGGGGCGGGGGGGGGGCTGGTGCTGCAGATCCCCTCCCCCCCACTGCTGCACCCGCAGCAGGGGATGGAGGAGAAAAGGGGGGGGGGGGCGGGGGGGGGGGGGGGGGCTGTGCATGGCGCGTGCAGAGGGCAGCAGGGCGCACGGGGCGCACAGGGCAGCAGGGCGCACAGGGCGCAGCAGGGCTGCAGGGCGCGCGGGGCGCGCAGGGCAGCAGCAAGGGCTGTAGCGGCAACAGCAAGGGCTGTAGCGGCAGCAGCAGGGCAGCAGGGCGCACAGGGCTGCAGGGCAGCAGGGCGCACAGGGCTGCAGGGCAGCAGGGCGCGCGGGGCGCGCAGGGCTGCAGGGCGCGCGGGGCGCACAGGGCTGCAGGGCGCGCGGGGCGCACAGGGCAGCAGGGCAGCAGAGCGCGCAGGGCTGCAGATCCCCTCCCCCCCACCGCTGCACCAGCTGCAGGGGGATGGAGGAGAAGTGGGGGGAGGGGGGGGGGGGGGGGGTGCTGATGCTGCAACTCCCCTCCCCCCACTGCTGCTGCAGATCCCCTCCCCCCCACTGCTGCACCCGCAGCAGGGGTGGAGGAGAAAGGGGGGGGGGGGGGGGGGGGCGGGGGGGGGGGGCTGGTGCTGCAGATCCCCTCCCCCCACTGCTGCTGCAGATCCCCTCCCCCCCACTGCTGCACCCGCAGTAGGGGTGGAGGAGAAAGGGGGAGGGGGGGGGGCGGGGGGGGGCTGGTGCTGCAGGTCCCCTCCCCCCACTGCCGCATCCGTAGCAGGGGGAGATAGGAGAAGGGGGGGGGGGGGGGGGGGGGGGGGTGGTGCTGCAGATCCCCTCCCCCCCCACTGCTGCACCCGCAGCAGGGGGGAGGTAGAAGGGGCGCTGCAGGAGCCGCTCGGGCGACAGCACGTTGGCCACACCCGCAACCCCCATACCCTCACCCCACTGCTGCACCCGCAGCAGAGAGATGGAGGAGAAGGGGGGGGGGGGGGGGGGCGGGGGGGGGGGCTGGTGCTGCAGATCCCCTCCTGCCTCCCCCTGAACCTCCAAGCTCCCCCCCCTCTCCCACCACAAGATGCGGCAGGAAGAGAGAGAGGAGGAGGTGTGGCGGCAGCTGCTGCTGCTGAGGCACATCCGCCACCCCCTCACACCCTCTCCCCGCCATCCCCATGGAGGGGGGGGAGGGGGGGGAGGGGGGCGGGGGCGGAGCTGCGCGTGCGACTGTAGGGCACGCGGGCAGGAGGTACCCCCTCTTGCCACCCCCTCACCCACCATGTTGCAACAGGGCACCGGGGCCGTGGGTAGGGGCGGCAGATCGCGAGGGGCCATGGCCAGGGGCGAGGAGGCCATGGTTAGGGGCGACGGGGCCAAGGGGGCCTAGGGGCCGCGGGGCCAAACAAGGAGCCGGGGGGGCCTAGGGGGGCCGAGGGGCCTAGCAAGGGGCCGGGGGGGCCGGGCGCCGGGCTATGTAGTGGGGCCGAGGGGCCTAGGGGCCGCGGGGCCAAACAAGGGGCCGGGGGGGGGCTAGGGGGGCCGAGGGGCCTAGGGGGCCGAGGGGCCAAACAAGGGGCCGGGGGGGGGGGGGGGGCGGGCGCCGGTCTCTGAGGTGGGGCCGAGGGGGCCTAGGGGCCGCGGGGCCAAACAAGGGGCCGGGGGGCCTAGGGGGGCCGAGGGGCCTAGTGGGCCGAGGGGCCAAACAAAGGGGCCGGGGGGGGCCGGGCGCCGGGCTCTGAGGTGGGGCCGAGGGGCCTAGGGGCCGCGGGGCCAAACAAGGGGCCGGGGGGCCAAGGGGGGCCGAGGGGCCTAGGGGGGGGCGAGGGGCCAAACAAGGGGCCGGGTGCAGGTCAGGTACGGGGCCGGGCGCTGGGCAGGTACGGGGCCGGGCGCTGGGCAGGTACAGGGCCGGGCGCTGGGCAGGTACAGGGCCGGGCGCTGGGTAGGTACGGGGCCGGGCGCTGGGCAGGTACGGGGCCGGGCGCTGGGCAGGTACGGGGCCAAGCGCTGGGCAGGTACGGGGCCGGGCGCTGGGCAGGTACGGGGCCAGGAGCTGGGCAGGTACGGGGCCTGGCGCTGGGCGCGGAATGGGGCCGGGCGCGGGGCTAGGTACGGGGCCGAGCGCGGGCAAAGGACGGGGGGCCGGGCGCGAGGCTAGGTACGGAGCCAGGCGCTGGCGACAGAAGGGGCCGGGCGCGGGCTAGGTACGGGGCCGGGCGCTGGCTAGGGTCGCGGCCGTGCGCTGGGCTAGGTACGGGCCGGGCGCGGGGCTAGGTACGAGCCGAGCGCGGACGAGAGACGGGGCCGTGCGCGGGCAGGGTACGGGCCGGTCGCGAGGCTAGGTACGGGCCGATCGCGGGGCTAGGAACGGGGCCGTGCGCGAGGCTAGGTACGGGCCAGGCGCGGGGCTAGGAAAGGGGCCGAGCGCGGGCTAGGTACGGGCCGATCGCGGGCTAAGTACGGGCCGGGCGCGAGGCTAGGTACGGGCCAGGCGCGGGGCTAGGAAAGGGGCCGAGCGCGGGCTAGGTACGGGCCGATCGCGGGCTAAGTACGGGCTGGGCGCGAGGCTAGGTTCGGGCCAGGCGCGGGCGAGGTACGGGCCGGGCGCGGGGCTAGGAACGGTGCCGAGCGCGGGCTAAGTACGGGCCGGGCGTGGGGCGACGGAGTCGACGGGGCCAAGGGGCCGAGGCGACGGGGCCAAGGGGCCGAGCCTAGGGGCTAGGGGCGACGCCCAGGGGCGACGGGCCGGGGCCTAGGCTAGCAGGGCAGTAGGTGGTGGGCCCATTAACATTAGGTCCTAGGAAATTTATGCTCTTAATACCATGTTAGAATACTAGCGTGAGTTAGGAGCCATGGCTAGGAAGGATGTCGAGAGAGTTGAGTGTCGAGAGAATTGGAAAGGAGAATGAGGGTTTCACTAGCAAGAGTTGGGATACAAGTACAACACCCTAAATTGGGTTGTACTCATTACAGAGTACCCCACTGCAGGCTAGACAGCAAATACATTCTGACAGGTGATGCAGGGCGTATGGGTGCGCATGGCAACTTGGAACGTACTGAGATGGCTGAGAAGTCACCTGAATTAACCCCAAACACTCTGAGGTTCTTGAACTGAGTGGCTACAGTGATGGAGGGCGTGTGGGTGCACATCGCAAATACTGAGATGACTCAACAATCGCCTAATTTGGCCCCAGACAAAACAAACCCAGTGTGTGGTTTACCTGTGTGGGCGCCGAAGACTCTGAGGTTCTTCCACCGCGGGGCGATGGTGGTGCATGGCGTGTGGTGTGGGTGCGCATGGCGAGTACTGAGAGTCTGAGAGGGCTCACAAGTCACCTGAGTTGGCTCTGAAGACTTTAAGGTTCTTGAACTGGGCGGCTACGGTGATGGAGGGCGTGTGGGTGCGCTTGGCAACTTGGTTGAAATGTACAGAGATGGCTAAGAGGTTACCTGAGTTGGCTCCGAAGACTTTGAGGTTCTTGAACTGGGCAGCGACAGTGATGGAGGGCGTGTGGGTGCGCATGGCAACTTGATTGAAATGTACGGAGATGGCTGAGAGGTTACCTGAGTTGGCTCCGAAGACTTTGAGGTTCTTGAACTGGGCAGCGACAGTGATGGAGGACGTGTGGGTGCGCATGGCAACTTGGTTGAAATGTACGGAGATGGCTGAGAGGTTACCTGAGTTGGCTCCGAAGACTTTAAGGTTCTTGAACTGGGCGGCAACAGTGATGGAGGGCGTGTGGGTGCGCATGGCAAGCGCACCGCTCCTCATTGTTGCCACGTCAGCCACGTCCCCCACACTCTGTAGTCGCTCCACCAGGTGGCGTAGGGATGGCAGGTCAGGTAATTGCACCAGCGTCTGGAAGAAGAGAGGAGTGGGAGGGCAAGGGGAGGGGACATTTTGGCACGTCAACCACATCGCCCACACTCTGTAGGCGCTCCACCAGGTGCCGCAAGGACGGCATATCCGGCAGCTGCACCAGGGTCTGGGAAAGGGGGGCGGTTGGGGTGGATGGAGCAAGTAAATGGGACGGCTTCACTTGCCACATCGCCCACACTCTGCAGTCGCTCCACCAAGTGCTGCAAGGACGGCGGGTCCGGCAGCTGCACCAGGGTCTGAAAGGGGGGGGGAAGCAAGGGGAGGGGGGTTGTTAGTTGTAACCTTCACGTTGCCCACACTCTGTAGTCACTCTACCAGGTGACGCAGGGAGAGCAGATCTGGTAATTGCACCCGGGTCTGGGAGGAGAAGGGTTGGGGGAGCAAGGAGAGGGGACGGTTTTACTCGCCACATTGCCCACACTCTGCAGTCGCTCCACCAGCAGGCGCAGGGGTCAGCAGATGCACCAGGGTCTGACCAGGAGGGGGGAAGAGGAGAAAGGCGAGGGAGACGAGGTCGATGCCCCATGGGGTCAACAGGGGTCAACCAGAGTCAACATGCGCCTCACCCCACGCATCAAGTGCACGGGGTCGATGCCAGCTGGCAGTCAGAAGAAGTCAACGCAAGTCAACTCAGGCCTCACCAGAGACAACTCAAGCCTGCAGTCAGCCTCACCTCAGGCAGCGAGTGCACGAGGTCGATGCCAGCCTGCAGCTCGTTGAGCTGCGAGCGCGGCAGCGGCGTTGAGATAGGGATGTCCTGCACTATGCTCGACCGCTCGCCCTGGGGGCGGGGCATGACCCGTGACAGGTGGGGGGGGCGGACAAGGGGGAAAGTGATGTGGGAAATGAGAGTTAGAATAGAAGTTATGTCTTGATTGAGAATGATGGGGGTATACATAGTTGGAGGTTGGATACTAGCCTTGGTTGGCATTATTGGACCCCAACCAAGAAGTTGAGTTGGGTGATTATTGGTGGGGTCCAATAATGTTGGCCAAGGTGGGGTTGGCCAACATTATTGGAGGGAGCCAATAATTCTACCCAACCCAACCTTTTGGTGTCCAATAATTGGACCAAGGTTGGGTTCCAACCTACAAACTGGGTTACCCCTGTTTGTACACCCAAACTAAGTTTGGGTGCTTATCTCTAGCCTATCCTATAGCATACATGCAGGTTACAAGAGGAGAGATATTCTAACACAACCCCTTAACCTGCAGATATGTGGACAGGCTAGAGAGTAGCAACCCCTGAATTAAGGCACGCCGGGAGGGGCGAGGCCGATGAGACGGAGAAGAGCAGAGTGCGCAGGGCGGAGAAGGGCTTTGGTAAATATATCAGCCAAGTTGGCCGCGGCAGCGATCTTGCGGACGGCAATGGGGCCTTGCTGGACGAGGTCACGGATGAAGAAGTAGCGGAGCTCGATGTGCTTGGAGCGGCCGTGAAAGACTGGGTCCTGGGTGAGGTGGATGGTGCTGGCATTGTCACACCAGAGTGTGGGACAGCGCTGCAGGGCACCAAGCTCGGCGAGAAGAAAGCAGAGCCAACGGGACTCTTGGGCAGCCATAGTGCCAGCATAGAGTTCGGCTTCGCAGGAGGAGAGGGCAACGGCAGAGGAGCGAGTAGAACGCCAGCTGATAAGTCCGCTGCCAAGCGTGAAACCATAGCCTTGTGAGGAGCGGCGGTCTGGCTGGGAGTCCGCCCAGGAGGAATCACTGAAGCCAGAGAGAAGGGGAGGGGAGGAACCACCCAATGTAAGGGCGTGATCCTTGGTGCCCCGGAGGTAGCAGAGAACTCGCTTAGCGGCAGTCCAGTGTTCCTCAGTGTGGCGGCCGGAGCCGATGAACCGAGCGAGGACGCTGATGGGGTAGGCAAGGTCGGGGCGAGTGCACATCATCGCGTACATCAGCGACCCGACGAGTTCGGCATAGGGACGGGAGGAGGCGGAGGGGGAGGTGGGTGGCGCCAGCTGGTGACCGAAGGGGAGGGGGGTGGAGACCGGTTTGGCCTGCGCCATCTCGAACTTCTCCAGCACCTGGCCGATGTAATGGGACTGGGAGAGGGTGATGGTGCGGGCGGATCGGTCGCGAGTGATGGTCATGCCGAGGTAGTTCTGCAGCGGACCAAGGTCCTTGCACTTGAGACGGTCCTGAAGGGACTGCTTCACCTGGTCCATGTCGGTCCTGGAATCAGCAAGCAGGATCATGTCGTCAACATAGACCGAGATGAAGAAGCGAGGGGAAGAGCGGATGAAGAGGCTGGCATCGGAGTGGGAGGCAGAGAAACCGAGGGACTGGAGAGTGGTAGACAGCTTGGCATGCCATTCTCGTGGTGCCTGCTTCAGACCATAGACTGGTCGACGTAGTTGCCAGACGGTATTGCCGGGGAAAGCAGCGTGAAACCCGGGAGGTCGGCGTAGGAAAATACGCTCGTGCAGCTCGTCTTGCAAGAATGCGTTGGAGACGTCCATGGAGTCAATCTCCATGTTGTCGCGCGCACCAACGTCGAGAAGGGCGCGAAGGGTAGGTGGCTTAACGGTAGGGGCGAATGTGAACCAGTAGTCCTCAGCCCAAGTCTGTGTAAAGCCTTTGGCGACATAGCGGGCCTTGTAGACTGGTTCTTCTCCCGGCAGCTGTTTTACTCGGAAGATCCACTTGCCCTCGACAAGGTTGGCGTCAGGAGGGAGGGGCACATCGATGAAAGAGTCATTGCGGATGAAGGCCTCACATTCCAGGAAGATGGCGGCTATCCATTTGTCGGCATCTGGGCAGGTGGTAGCTTCCTGGAAGGTGGAGGGGACGAAGATGGTGGGAGCGGAGACTGCGGCAAGGATAAGAGCGCCGAGGAAGCCAGGGTAGAGGGGGGTGAGAGAGGGAGCGTGGCGCTGGACCATAGTAAGTTCCTCATGGAAGTCTTCTAGTAGGTTGAGGGAGGGAGAAGGCGGTGTGCCAAGGATGGGATCAAGGGAGCGGGTGTGCATGCGAGGGAGGAGGAAGGGTGAGGAGCGGGCAGTCGCCCTCCGTCGCTGCTGCTGTTGGTGCTGCGGAAGCCCCTGCTGCTGCTGCGGCTGCTGCTCCTCCTGCTGCTGCTGCCCCTGCTGCTGCCCCAGCTGCTGCCCCTGCTGCTGCCCCGGCTGCTGCCGCAGCTGCTGCTGCCCCTGCTGCTGCGGCGGCTGCTGCTGCTGCTGCTGCTGTTGGGATGAAGGAGAGGGAGGGGAGGACGGGAAGGGGAGAGGGGGGGCGGCGGAGTGGGCAGGGGATGCAGGTGCAGTAGGATCGTAGATGTCAGCAGAGGAGGGCGGTGGAGGTGGAGCAGGGAGAGGTGGTAGTAGAGGCGCAGGAGGGAGGAGGGGAGGGAGGACAGTGTCGGTCCAGGCGAGAGGACGGGTAGGAGAAGGGAGGGGGTCTGGTGGTGGAGAGGAGTAGTACGGGGTGGTTTCGTCAAAGACGACGTCAATGCTGCGGGATGAGGCGACCGGAGGGAGGGTGGAGGAAGAGATAGCCAGGCGAGTCGCGGTTGTGTCCGAGATAGACACACTCGAGGGCGCGGGAAGCGAGCTTGCCGTGGGTGCGGTCAGAAGGAGGGATAAGAACGTATGCCTTGCAGCCCCAGACACGGAGACCGGCAGCGTCAGGTTTCGTGCCTGACCAGAGTTCCGTGGGGGTGATGGCAGTGTGTTGAGGATGAGAGTGAAGGTTGAGGAGGAGGGCAGCATGGAGCAGAGCATAGCCCCAGAGGGAAGGAGGGGTGGAGGCGTGAGCGAGGAGGCAACGAGCGATTTTGGTGATTTCGCGAATGCGGCTTTCTGCGACACCATTCTGTTGCGGGGAGTGGGGAAGGGTGTGGGTCTGTTGGATGCCATGGGTGGCGCAGTAGTGGGAGAGGGTGCGGTTGAGGAATTCTCCGCCGCCGTCAGAGTGAAGGCGGCCGATGGGACGGTTGAAGTGGGCGCGGCATTGCTCTGCCCAGTGGGTGATCACAGTCGGTGCCTGGTCTTTCGTGTGGAGGAGGAAAATGGAGGAGTAGCGGCTGTGGTCGTCTACGAGGACCAGCATGTAGCGATGGCCCTGACGGGAGCGAGTGGGAGAGGGTCCCCAGAGGTCCATATGGACTAGGTCAATGGGAGCGGGAGCAAAGGATGGGTGGCTGTGGTGGGGAGACTGTTTGAGTTTGCCGTGGATGCAGGAGGGGCATGGAGGGGCTGGAGAGGAAGGGAGGGGAGGGAGAGTGGGAGGGAGGCTGTGAAGGAGGCGAGAGGTGATGGCAGTGCGGAGAGCGGCGAAATTGGGGTGGCCGAGTCGGTGATGTAGCAGTACAGCGGGGTGGGAGAGATGGTCGGAGGTGGAGGGGGTTGGAGTGAGTGAGGGTGGGAGAGGGGGAGGTGGCTGCTGCTGTTGCTGCTGCGGCGGCTGCCCTTGCTGCGGCGGCTGCTGGTGCTGCTGCTGCTGCTGCTGCGGCCCCTGCTGTTGCCCCTGCGACGGCGGCTGCTGCTGCTGCGGCCCCTGCTGCTGCTCCTGCTGCGGCGGCTGCTGCTGCTGTCGCTGCTGCTGCTGCGGATGCTGCCCCTGCGGCGGCTGCTGTTGCTGCTGTTGCTGCTGCTGGGGTGGAGGTGAAGTAGGGGGGTGGGAAGGGTGAGTGGAGGTGCCAGTACGAGTGGTGACATGGCAGAAGGATGGCCAAGGGGTGCGGAGAGTGTAGAGGCGAGTGCGGGGGCAGAGGGGAATGCGTAGAAGGAAGCGACCGGTGGCGGTGTGATAGAGGTCACAGTAGGTGGCATTACCTGGATAGACGGCAGTGATACCTGCATTCTGGACTTCCCGATGGGAGAGGAGGTTGTTTCGGAGAGTGGGGATGTGGAGACCAGTTACCTTACCGGAGGGGAAGATTGTGCAGGGGAGAGTGGAGAGATGTGTGCATGGGATGGTGAAACTGCTGTCAGCACCGTGAACTTGAGTGGGAGGAGAGAGGGGTGTGAGTGTACCAGCATCCTTGAGAGCAGTCTCAGTGGCCCCACTATCAAGGACGAAGTCCAGAGTGGGTGGGGAGGAGGAGGAAGACACCGAGTACTGGAAAGTGGTTTCATTAATGGTGGAGGGGTACATGGAAGGAAGAGAGGGGGAAAGAGCAATGTTGCCAAGAAAACTTTCCTGGGTGAGGGGAGTGATAATACTACCAGGAGGAGGTGGGGCACCCCACAGGGGAGCAGGGGGGGTCTGAGCAGCTGTGGCTGCCGCGCTGAGGTTCAGCTGCTGCTGCTGCCAGGGGGGAGTGCTGGGTCCCCACTGGGGTGGGAGCCCGGGTCCCCATGGGGGCTGCTGCTGCTGCTGCTGTTGCTGCTGCGGTGGTTGCTGCTGGAACAGCTGCTGCTGCTGCTGTGGTTGCTGCTGGAACAGCTGCTGCTGCTGTTGCGGTTGCTGCAGAAGATGCTGCTGCTGAATATTGAGGAGCGGCGTGGGGGGAGCAAGGAGGCGGAGGTGGGTGGGGAGATAAGCAGGGTGGGTTTGGATGTCAGCAGGGGAGGGACGCGGGGAGACGGTACCCCAGCGGGGAGGTGTGCCAACATTGCCCCGTGCGTACCAGGCATCATCGAAAGCCTTGAAGCAAGTGGTAGGGGGATGGTTGGTTTGACCGCAGGGTGTCCCTGCCCGGGGACCGTAGCGACGGACATAGGTGCAGGGAGGGAGAGTGCCAGGGCGGGGTCCCCGGTTTCCAGAGGGACCGCCCTGACTGGGGGTGCCGTGCTCATCCCCAGTAGAGGCACCATGGTTGCTGGCGCTGCTGGTTCCTTGACCGCTGCCTCCCTTGCCCCCACTTCCCCCTTTGCCGTTGCGTTTGCCCTGCTTGCGGGGCTGGGTAGTGTTGAGAGAGGAGGAGGGAGGGTGGGAGGAGGCGAGGTTGACCATGGGGGTGCGAAGTTTGACTTCGGTATCAATGATCCACTGTTCAAAAGAAGTGATATTGGCCATGGGATTGGCCTCGGTAAAGGCGTGAAGGCGGGATTCATAGTCTGGGGTGAGATTGAAGAGGAGGCGATGGATTTGGAGGGGTTCGGAGAGACCGGCTTGGCGGGCTTCGAGGCGATCAGCTACCTCTCGCATGCGGCCGACATAGTCTACTGCCCCGTCACAGGTGGCGAGGGTAATAGAAAAATACTCCTAGAAGAGGATTCCCACGGAGCTGATGTCGCGGCGTTCGAACATAGCATGGAGTTCTGCCCATATCACTGAGGCACGGAGTTCCCGGGCCTGGAAGCGGCGCATGAGGGAGTCGGGAAGAGCACCGAGGATGACAGTGCATGCGCAGTTGTCAGCGGCTGACCAGGCGATGAACTTAGGAGTGAAGGTAGTCATATCGTCGTTGTATTTGGCGACGACGGCGAGGTGAGCATTGCGGCCAGCAACGGCCTGGGCGTAGGCATCAGCTGCTGCATCGTACTCGGCTTTGCGGATGAGGTAGGCACGGCGACGCATAAGGAAGTTTGCATCTGCGGTGGTTTGGTCGGCGGCGGTCTGGAGCTCGGGCTCAAGGGGAGGGTCGCCAGGAGGGGGATGGAGAGGAGGGGTCTTGCCGGGGTGGTCAGGTTCGGTGGGGGGGAGGGCATGGGGGCGGCGGAGGACGACGTCAAGGACGCGGTAGGGGGGGATCCATGCATTGGTGAGGACTCGTCGGATGCTGCCGACGAACGAGTACCAGTTAATGGCAGATTTGTCGGCTGCAAGCTGTAATTTGTCAATGGAGGAAGTATCGATAGGAGGAGGGAGGGGGGAGGGGGAGGGCATGGGGTTAGCCATGAGGGACGGCTGCAGGTGGACCCGCAGTGGTCACGAAAGCGCGCAGGTGGCGGCAGCTGGTGGGGCTGCTATGGCGCGGGTGCGGAAGCGGTGGGGAGGTGGAGGAATGGCGCAGGCAGCGGAGGTTGGCGCGGAGGTGGCTACGAGGCTGCGAAGCGGCGGGAGGTGGCGGCGGCTGGCGAGGCCGTGGCGGACGCAGGCGCAGAGGTGGTGCGGAGGCGGCGGAGGGGAGCTGCGCGGGCGGCGGCTGGTGGGGCCGCGGCGACGCGGTTGCGGAGGCGGCGTCGAGGCCGTGAAGGGGAGCAGCGCAGGCGGCAGCGGTTGGTGAGGCCGCGGCGACGCGGGCGCGGGGGCGACGAGGCCGCGGAGGGGGGCAGCGCGGGCGGCGGCGGTTGGCGAGGCCGCGGCGACGCGGGCGCGGAGGCGGCGGCGAGGCCGCGAGGGGGAGCTGCGCGGGCGGCGGCGGCTGACGAGGCCGCGACGTCGTGGGCGCGGAGGCGGTGTCGAGGCCGCGGAGGGGAGCGGCGCGGGCGGCGGCGGCTGGCGAGGCCGCGGTGATGTGGGCGCGGAGGCGGCGTCGAGGCCGTGTAGCGGCGCGAGTGGCGGCGGCTGGCGCGGCCGCGGCGTCGCGGGCGTGGAGGCGGCGGCGAGGCCGCGGAGGGGAGTTGCGCGGGCGGCGGCGGCTGGCGAGGCCGCGGCGTCGCGGGCGCGAAGGCGGCGTCGAGGCCGCGGAGAGGAGCTGCGCGGGCGGCGGCGGCTGGCGAGGCCGCGGAGTCGCGGGCGCGGAGGCGGCGTCGAGGCCGCGGAGGGGAGCGGCGCGGGCGGCGGCGGCTGACGAGGCCGCGGCGTCGCGGGCGCGGAGGCGGCGTCGAGGCCGCGGAGGGGAGCGGGGTGGCGGCGGCTGGCGAGGCCGCGGCGGACGCAGGCGCGGAGGCGGCGACGAGGCCGCGGAGGGGAGCAGCGCGGGCGGCGGCGGCTGACGAGGCCAGGGCGACGCGGGCGCGGAGGCGACGACGAGGTCGCGGGGGGAAGGCGCGGGCGACGGCGGGCGCAAAGGCAGCAGCAAGGCTGCGAAAGAAGGGGAGCGCTAAGGGGGGAGGGGGAAGGTGGCAGAGGAGCCGGGGAAAAAAAAATGAAAGGGAGGAGGCCGGGGGTTGCGGTGGCCGGGTGGGCCTTTGGAACGATAGTAGGCCTAGGATAGTGTGCTCTATACCATGTGGGAAATGAGAGTTAGAATAGAAGTTATGTCTTGATTGAGAATGATGGGGGTATACATAGTTGGAGGTTGGATACTAGCCTTGGTTGGCATTATTGGACCCCAACCAAGAAGTTGAGTTGGGTGATTATTGGTGGGGTCCAATAATGTTGGCCAAGGTGGGGTTGGCCAACATTATTGGAGGGAGCCAATAATTCTACCCAACCCAACCTTTTGGTGTCCAATAATTGGACCAAGGTTGGGTTCCAACCTACAAACTGAGTTACCCCTGTTTGTACACCCAAACTAAGTTTGGGTGCTTATCTCTAGCCTATCCTATAGCATATATGCAGGTTACAAGAGGAGAGATATTCTAACAAGTGATTGCAGCGGAGGTGAGGGGGGAGCAGCGCAGGGGCAGAGGGCAAGCTGCTCATATTGAGAAGCTTGAGAAGTTGGTTGGTAGTGTGTGGCAGCGGCTAGAATGTGGCACTAGACAGGCAGAGGCCTTACCACGCACCTTGCCACCCACCTTGCCACCCACCTTGCCACCCATCTTGCCACCCACCTTTCCACACATTTGAACCCCTTGACACCCACCTTGGCCTCGAGAGAAAGGAAGGGCAGCGCAGGAGCAGTGGGGTTGGTGCTCTTCTTGACGAGCTTGAGCTGGTGGCGCGTGGCGGCGGTGGCGAGGGAGGAGCGCAGGGCGCGGGCGAGCAGCGAGAGATCGAGAGAGAAGGCGATGCGATCGGCGCTGGCGCTGCTTATGAGATGCTCCGAGAATAGCTCACCCTGAGGGGAGAGAGGGGGGATGAGGGATTGGAAGGAGAAAGGAACGCGAGAGTGCATGGGCGAGTAGTGAGAGGTCGAGAGAGAAGGCGATGCAGTCGGTGCTGGCGCCGCTGATGAGATGCTCTGAGAACAGCTCGGCCTGAGAGGAGGGATGTGGAAGGCGGGCAGGGGACGGTAGGACAGGGGAATCTGTATGGGAAAAAGAAAAGCGGCAGTTCACAGAAGTGAAAAACTGCGCGATGGCCCGCATGCCACGGGCTCTGTCTTTTGGGCACGACGGACTATAGTTGAGTTTTTAGTCATATCTTACTGTGGGGAACTGCGCGATGGCCTGCACGCCATCAGCAGAGAGCACGTTGTGCAGGAGGAAGACGTCAGATGGTGTGAGGTACACGTGGCACACCCGCCCTATGCGCTCAAAGGCCGGCAGGAAGCCTGCAGGAGGGCGTGGGGGAGGGGGCGGCACAGATGGTGGTTGGCACCATGAAGGTGTATGCGTGGGGTGGGGTTACAGGTGTGCCAGCAATGATGATTCCAGACGCCGGCAGGAACCCTGCAGGGGAGGGTCGGGGCAAGGGGCGGCATGGCGGGTGGTTGGTGGCATGAGCTGAAGGCGTGTGGCTGGGTGCACTGGCACAGGAATCCGCGTCCATGCATGGCGGTGGTGTGGTGTGGTGGGTGCAAGGTGGGGTACTACAAGCCTACAAGGGCGTGCCTTGCCTGCCTGCTCCAAGGCCGGTACGTGCCCTGCAGGTCAGGGCGTGGGGTGGTGGTGGGGGAATGATGACATGGGAGGGTGATGGCTAGAGGTGAAAGGCATGGATGAGTGGGGAAACGGTGCGCATTGGGAACGGAAACAGGCATAGATTAATCAAAAGTGATTCCAGTGTAGCCATACATAGATTTATGTAAACCAGCCATTGTGCGCATGTAAGGGGAACATGCTCAGAAAGCCGTGGGGTGGTCACGCTGAGGCATGATGGCATGGATGGGATGGTTGCACGGATGGGATTCTGGCATGGATGGCATGATAGCATGGCAAGATGGCATGGCAAGATGGCATGGGATGATGGCATGGCATGATGGCATGGATGACGAGGGAGGCATGCAAGGAAGCGGTAGGCGCTGAATGTTGCACTTCTTCGTGGTGAACAGAGAGAAGCACGGAACATGGTGTGACCCAAGGCATCGAGGCTGAGCTGACTAGCGCCATCCAGGGTTTGAAAGCATAGCAAGAGCAAAACGCACACAATAGATCGGAATGGGAAAGGAATCGTCAAGCGAGAAGACAGGGAAGGGAGGAGGAAGGTGACGTCAGAGGCGGACTCACGTTGCTCGAGGAGCGACACTCCGTCCGTCGTGAGAATCGCCTTGAACCGCATGATGCTGTGTGCTCTGCTGTGTGCTCTGCTGTGTGCTCTGCTGTATGCTCTGCTGTGTGCTCTGCTGTGTGCTCTGCTATGTGCTCTGCTGTATGCTCTGCTGCATGCTCTGCTGGCCGATGCGCTGATGCCTGCTCCTACGCCTGCTCGTTGATTGATTGTCAGTCCGACCTCTAAGCGGCTGCTTGAAGATCCGATCTTAGCGTTGCTACAATCCGTGCCGCTAGCCGTCAAGCTGCGCCTCGCTCATTGCGACGGCGTGTACAACGATAACGTCACTATCAGTGGCAAATGTGTTTGCGAAGCACATCAGAACGTCACTACCAGCTTAGGCGTGTCAGGATCCATGTATTGTCGGCCGCGAACAGCACAACAACAAGGCTACGGGGTGTACCCTAAACCACATTCCTTCGTGTGATGCTATCGTTCAGCGTGCTATGCCGTTGGCTAACAGCATGCCGCGCTTTGGCAGAGCGATCGTCGGTCCCTAAAAAGACCTGGCCCTTCACGAGGAGGCGATGACGTGATGATCTTGCAGCGCAGCAGGCACAAGCTCGATTTTAAGTAAGGTTAGACAGGGTGATGTGCATTATGAAGTGCTGAAATGCGGTTAAAAGCGGCGATGGATTCGCGGCAGCGTGCTCGTGACGCCAAATTGGTGGGCGTGGTGGCATCAATGCATGGTGGCTGGCTGGGCGTTCTTGGGACCTCGAAATTAGTTTTTTCACGATTCAGCCAATCGCACCCAGCGAGAAATATTTCGCGGGAATCATCTCCCGAAAGTTCCAACAGAAACTCATGGACAGCGCGACATGTCAAGGGAGAGGCTCGAAGGTCGTTGCGAACTCTCTGGTTCAAATCATTCGTGGCGAATCTTTCGCGAATTCCATCGAATCTCGCTGAGCCACGAATCGTGGTCGTACAACGTTTTCCCGCCTTTGTTTGAGCCCACCTCCCAAGGGTTTCAACAGCCCGTGAAGTTCATCCAGTTTCGCCACAGTAAGCAACACCCCAAGAACAAGCACACCGCCAAGGCTGAAACCCTAGGCTGCTATTTTACCAAACCTCCCAATGCACAAGCCGCAGTGGCGTTCCACGCACTTTCCTCGGTACTTCCGAAGCTTCCTGAATCCCTCACTGCTTGTGTCGCTGACAAGGAGCGACTGTCGTAATCGCGCTTCGGCAGCACCCCGCTTTTCGCGTTACTTTCGTCCTGTTAATTTATTTCAGAAGGAAGGTGCGCTGGAACTTAAAGGGTGGAGGTACATACGCTCTCAGAAGAGTGGCTATGTCGTATTGGCATGTTGTCCCGGATCGCAATGTTACTCAGCATATGGACCTTATAACGAGTATCTCAATGTGTCAGGCGGTCGCTTGTGCCTGTTATGTCACTTTGTCGTCGTTTTGAAAGCCTGCGTCTGAAGTATCGCAATGCAGACGTGCAGCCTACGAAAGCTTCCGTAACATTGCTCTGGCTCATTCCCTCTTCCCCCCCTTCCCGTTTTCCCCGTTACAGCATGACTCGCTCGCTTCTCTTACAGCGATTACAGTCGGTCACCAATCAGCAACCTCCCAGCCAGCCGCCCAGCAGACCGCCTGACCTGCCGGCGGAAGCCGCGCAGAGGGCGGAGGCTGCCCGCCGCGCAGGTGGCCCCGCGACAGCAACAGCGCAGCGAAGGGAAGCAGCCGCAGCCGGAAGGACTGCTGGGGGAACGGTTCAAGGGGAGGGGCGAGCGGAGGAGCAGCGCGGTGGTGTGCGGTTGGAGTCGGTTCCGGCCACCAACCCCCATGTCGCCCGACCTGCCCGTCCCGCCTGTCCCGAGCCTGCCCTTCCCCCCTACGCCTTCCCCTCGCCCACCCCCCACTCTTCCGCCCTTGGTCTCCCCGTGCCCCCCCTGCACGCGAGCACGGGCACAGGCAGGGGAACAGGCGCGGGCACAGGTACGGGCACAGGCTCAGGCACAGGCGCAGGCACAGGCGCAGGCACAGGCGCGGGCACAGGCGCGGGCACAGGCGCGGGCAGAGGTGCGGGCACGGGCACAGGCATGGGGTTGGGCATGCGGGTGGAGCAGGTGCGGAGAGGTAGCAGCCACAGGAGCGGCAAGGGCAGGGTGCGGGCGTTGTGGGACGATGAGCAGACAATAACACTTCTGAAGATCATGCGTGGCGTGCTGCGCGCTCAGGGCAGCGCCCTCCCCGGCAAGATCGAGGACTGGGGGGTGGTGCACCGCGAGTGGTTGCGGCGAGGATCCCTGCGGGGGTACCCCAGGTATTCGGAGGAGCAGCTGAGGATCCGGTGCAGGGTGGTGCGTGGGTGGGTGATGGACATTCAGGGGCTGCAGGCAATGCTGCCACCGGGAGTCGAGTGGGACCCTGCCACTCAGTACTTTGATCCCGACCCCAAGGTGAGTGACCCCAAGGTACGTTAGGGGTTTCTGACACCGACCCTAAGTTGAGTGTGGTTTGTCACTGACCCTGAGTTGAACTTGATATGCTCGTTAACCCCGAACACAGGTTGGGTTGTGGGTGCTGAAATGGAATGAGATGTTTTCTTACATGGAATGGAACGTACAGAATCGAGAGCCTTTTACTCCTGGTATGCGTACATTGATTCAGTTCATTTAAGCTAGGCTAGGCTTGTGTGGTGTGGACCTTTATCCTGTATGCACTGAAGCCCACCCTCCTCTGCTTCCACCTCACCAAATCCCCATGCGCTGAAGCCCACACACCTTTTCTCTCCCTTTCCTTGCTTGCTGTTCCTTACCCCATTTCCCCATCCCTCACCCCCACACTCTCCACTCCCTGCCTCTCCTCTCCTCTCCCCGCGTCATCTGCGCATCCTACCTCAGCCAAGGCAACACCGGCTGTGGCGGCGCCTTTCTGTGGTTCGTTTCCCCGCGATCACCACTCCTCCCCACTCCGCCCTCCCTACTTTCCCCCTTGCCTGCGTCAGCTGGGCATCATGCCGAAGCTGAGGCAGGACCCGCAGTGGCGCGGCTACAGCCGGTGGTGCAGCCACGTGGCTCCCTGGCTGCCCCTCGCCCTGCTCTCCACCCACACGTGCCCTGCTGAGAACGTGCGAGGGGAGGTGCAGTGGGGGGAGCAGGAGGAGGATGATTGGGAGGAGGAAGAGGGAGATGGAGGGGAACAGGGAGAGGAGGAGGAGGAAGGTGACGATGGGGAAGAGGAGGATGATGAAGTGATGGAGGTGCGGGTAGGAGGGATGGGGGATGGAGAGGCAGAGGGGGGGAAGTATAAGGAGGTGGAAGGGGGAGAGAGGGAGGAAGAAGTGGAGGAGGCGGAAAGGGGGGAGGGATGGGGCAGTGCGGGGTGGCAAGGGGGTGGGGCAGGGAGGCTTGAGATGCGAGGAGGGGCTGTGAGGAGTCGGAGGAGCAGAGGAGGGGTGAGTGGAGGGGGTTGGAGGGGTGGAGAGTGGAACGGTGATGAGTGGTGGGGAACGAGGAGGGGAAATGTGGGGCGCCAGGCTGGGGAGGGGGGAGGTGTGAGGAGCAGAGGAGGGGGAGATGGTGTGGGGGGAAGAGGGATTGGGAGTGATGGGGTCGGTGCTGCACAGGGGAATGGCGGGATTGGCCGTCCAGCTGAAGCACCACAGGCTAATGGCATGCGTCGTGCTGAGGTGGCACAAAACAATGTTACTTCTGCTGACGGTGCTCGTGCTGACGTGGCCCGTGCTGCTGACATGGCCGGTGCAAGTGCGGATGAGAGGGACGAGTACCCTGCGAGGCTGGCAGCGCGGATCGCTGGCATGGTGGCGAGCAGGAGGGAGCAAGGCGGTACAGAGGGGGGAGAGGCCGGGGATGGAGGAGGAGGAGGAGGAGGAGGAGGAGGAGGAGGAAACGCAAGTGCACGGTGGGGGGATGGGGCTCCAGAGGGGCAGAATCGAGGGGAGGAGTGGAGAGCGGCGAGGGGTGTGAAGCGGTCGAGGCCGGTGTGGGTGCAGGTGAGGGAGAGGAAGCGGCAGCGGCGGGTGATGGAGAGTGTGACGCGTGCCCTCACCACGTTCAGGAGCATGGCGGAGAAGGGGCAGCCCCACGTGCACCGAGGTGCGTGGTGTGATGGGATGGATAGGTTGGGATGGGATGGGATGTGGTGGGGTGGGGTGCAGTGAGGTTGGTTGGGGTGGGGTGGGTGTGGGGTCGGGCCGGGATGCGGTGGGATGCAATTCGATGCGATGCGCTGTGCTTCCCTACGATGCGATGTGATGTGATGTGATGTGATGTGATGTCATGTGATGTCACATGATGTGATGTGAAGGCACACACGTGAATGGATATCTAGTAAGGCACAACAGATGCTGAAATTTTTAGGGCGAGTGTCCAGCGTCCAGCGAGCGTCTAGCGTCTAGCATACAAAAGCTAGTGCATATACGCTAGACGCTTTCTGTGCAATGTCGCAATGCTAGGTCTCGAAGTGTGGCTTGGGTAACTTCATAAAAGTGGCTGGGTAAATCTGACAATTCAATCAATGGACCTTTACCATGTTTTTTTTTTTTTAGTGAATCACGTCACGTTTTAGCAAAAAAATGCGACGTTATGTCTTTACTACGTGGATCGCCATGAATTGGTGGAGCGTCATCCTCACTACGCCAAACGAGCACTAACCACGATTGCAATTGAAGGGTGGTCTTCAACAACTTCGATCCCTTGGGCGGCATCTGTCTGCAGCCCATCGCTAACGGATTTTGCAGAATGCACCCACATGAATGCAAACACCCCATGCATTACAGAAAGATGCTTGTCATCGTGCACACATTTAAAGTCTGGCGCTGTTACCTGACAGGCGTAGACATGATAGTACAACAGACAATAAACTTGCACATCCGACAAACGTGATAGATGTGATGATTCACGATTCATACCTTCGTCACTTCGTGCACATCCGAAGGTGAACCTACAACAAACTTGCTAGTTGGATAAACTGGAATCCAACTTTCACTTCACAGTCACGTACAAAATACGATCATCGAACATCGCAGACGCTCTCACCCGCCTGACTGCCCGACTGCATGCCATCCGACTCGGATCGATTGCTCAATAGACAACTTACATACGGGTATTGCACATACGGGTATTGCACTATGACAACCCCAAACGTGCTTGGCAACTTGCGACTATGAATTTTGTCACGGGGTTGTTAGCTGGCACAAGTGGTAACGATGCGGCTTTGGTCGTGGACGACCTCCTCACGAAAATGACCAATCTGCTACTTGCAAGAAGGCCACTTCCGTTGAGGACACCGCTTGCTTGTTCATCACGAGCGTCGTTTGGCTAGGAGGGATACTATCAGCGATAATCAGCGACCATGACACTTTGCATGCAACCTCATGGGAGCCATAGTTACCTTGATTGAGTCTGCTTATAGCAATGCGCAATAGCCACAACGAAGCAGTCACCGTTCTGTTTGATCTACGCACAAGATCCCACATAGCCATGACCTCAAATCAAATCCTAACAACCCCATGCAACGCGTCCATCAGCTCGCAAAGATTTTGCAAGCTGTTCGAACTTGCGCAGGAGAGGCAATATCAGTAGAATTTGTGCTGCTCGACACCCAGAACCTTGCGCTGCTCATCGCGCCAATACTTTGACTTTGCTATAGTGGCGATTCCAAGTCAACTACATGATTGCGCCCGCCGCTGTGCTTATACTGTTATCCGTGGATTGTTACATCAGCCGGTCGTTCCATATCAGCCTACTCCCGACCATAAGCGAGCTTCCACAACAGTGACCCCTCCTACTAGGCGTAAGCAACCGACCCAACCCGCCCCGACCGGACCCGATTTGGACGGGCCAGGCAGGTAAGGATTCGGGTCAGTTCGAGTCATACCGGGCTGAGGTTCCGAAAACCCTGGCCCGACCTGTCCTTGAAGGACCGGGTCAGGCCTGACGCGCCCCCGGGTCGAGACGCAGAGGCTTGCCAAACTGCGCAGATTGGCGATTTCGCCTGCTGATCTGCACTGATCAGCGATTTTCGCCAGTCTACCTAATTGCACTACTAAATTCGCCAGGCACTCCCTCCTCCCCGTCAACTTTGTTGTTTAAAAGTTCCCAACCAATTTGCCGCCACTTACCACTCATCACCGCACTGGATCTACAATACCCAACACCCCCGTCTCCCCCCTCCCCCCCCCCGTACACTTTCACAGATATAGACATTCTGCGCAGCCCATCCCGGGCGCTTTCTTTCAGACCCCTCCACCCAAACGTCGACTACGGCTAGTTTAGCCCATAGACTCGACCCGATACCTAGATAAATGACCCGTTTCCAGGCCGGATCAATATCCGGTCAAAACCCGACCCGACCCGGCCGGGTATACCCAGCCTGACCCGGCCAGGCCGGCGTTTGGGAAATCCCTGGCCCGACCCAGGCCAAGGCCGCCGACCCGACCCGCCGAGCTTCATGCTCAAGCCTACCTCCTACGTCCAAGCTCATTGTCACACCCAAGATTCGGAACTTGAAAGGCTCTCGACTGGTCGAGATTCAGATCCGCTAGAAGGACCACACGTCAATTGAAGATAGGTGGGTGCCTTTGGGAAATATTGAGGGTTATCCCATCGTCCGGGAGTACTTAAGGAGCCTAACACAGTTGGGTGCCTTTGTACAAGCAGTGTCTGTGTACACCAGTCGAAGACCGTTCTTCGCTCTCTACCAGTCGCTAGTGTTAGTTTGATGTCAAATTACACATCGTTGAATAAGGTTGCGTTTGTTGACAGAGAATGGCCCGCCCTCGCTTGGTTGACGCTGACTTCGCAGTCGGGTGTACGGGAGCTGCAGCCGGTTGCAGTCAATGTTGACGCCGACTTGGGCGAGGAAGTCGATGGATTTGGTCGTCTTCCGCGGGACCACTGCAAAGACGCCGACGAGGGGAAGTTGGCGGCCAACTTCCACTTGGGTGGTCGACAAAGGAGTTCTGCCACTGATGTAGTCATTGTTGCCATCACCAATTCATCTTTACATCCACATTTTGCTAGTGAAACTTTTGCCGATTCTCCTCGTGAATGCGAAAGTAGAGAGAATACGAGCAAACGCTACGATCATTCGTACCACCCGTGCCTTCCCCATGTTCCAACTCTTGGTGTAGTGTGACTCTCTGCAGCGTTGGCCTACACTTTGGGACTAGCTTGAATTATTCTGCCAGTGCACAGCCAGCCTAGCTCACCTTCACACGTTGCTGTTGGTGTTTTTCGCTATTTATTTTTCGCTCATGCCTGAGCTCACATTGTGGTATTTCCTGTATCCATCGTTCTCTTGTTCTATTGCACACATAACAAGTAGTAAAAATAATGAAAATGATGGTGATACTGATCACTATAATAATTATTATTATCATTCACACTTTCCGCTCCTACTCACCACCTCTGTACCCGCCTCTTCACCCCCAGATGCGGTGGCAGACAGTGTGTTCAAGTCAGTGCAGGACGTGCAGGCCCTCCCCTCTCTCACAGACGCACAGCGCGTGGCGGCCATCGACGCCTTCCTGCAGCGCCCCCTCGCCGCCCACGCCTTCCAGGCCATGCGCCCCGCCCTGCAGACCCTCTTTGTCATTCGCACCCACGCCCAGGCCGTTGACCGGCAGCTGGCCGGCGTGCAGCCCGCTGCTGCTGCTGGGGGGGATGCTGGCTTGCTGGACCAGCAGCTTACGGGGCTGTCAGGTGTGACTGCAGGTGTTGGGATGGTTGGGGGGGGAGGGGGGATGGGGGGAGGGGGGATGGGGGGATTGGGTTCGGGTAGGGGTGTGGGGGCGATGGGTGCTGGGGGTGTGGGAATGGGAGGGGCTGGGGTGGGGGCGATGGGGTTGGGGGCAACTGGAATGGGGGGGATGGGAACAGCGGGGGCTAGAACAGCAGGGGTGGGATCAACGAGGGTGGGTATGGGGGTTACAGCGATGGGCGGGACAGGAACAGGGGGAACGAGGATGGGGGAAACTCGTACAGGGGTAATGGGAATGGCGGGAACGCGGATGGGGGAAACGGGAACGGGAGGAATGCGGATGGGTGAGTCGGGTTTCGGTTGGAGGGGATTGGGTACGGTAGGGCAAACGGGGGCAGTGGGGGGGATGGGAGGAGGTGCAGGTGGGGGTGTGGGAATGGCAGCAGCATCAGCAGCAGCAGCAGCCTCAGCAGGAGGAGCGAGGGGTTTACAAGGTGTGGGGGGGGGTGGAGGAGGAGGAAGAGGGGTGGGTCGAAGAGGAGGGGTAGGAGGGGCAGGAGGAGCAGGAGCAGGTGGGTTGGGCGGTACAGGTGGGATGGGCACAGGAGAGGCGGGCAGCATGGCAGGACTGGAGCTACTGGGGCATCGCGTGCAGGAGTTGGTGCGAGAGAGCCTGGGAGCAGTCAACGCCAGTCAACAGATGGCCAGCACTGGTCAACAGGCAGTCAATGCTGGTCAAGGGGCAGTCAATGCCGGTCAAGGGGGGGTGGTTGGCACTCCAGTGGTGGTCAATGGGATTCAATGCGAGTGCCCTGAGTGTGTGGCTGCTAGATTGGCGGCCAGATTGTGTAAAGGCACAGCCAACGCGAGTCAAGATGCAGTCAATGCAAGTCAACCAGTGGTCAATGCGGATCCAGCATTGGTCAACGCGGGTCAAGCAGCAGTCAACACGAGCCCACTGGTGGTCAATGCAGATCCAAGTAGGGGAGTGGCAGCGAATCAGGTGGAGACAGCCGTCGGCCAATCAGGGTTAGGTGCAGGGCGTGGGGGGCCGACTGCAGTGCTACAGACAAGAAATGCTGGTCAAGCAGCAGTCAACGCTGGTCAAGCACCAGTCAACGCTGGTCAAGCAACAGTGAATGCAGGAGGAGGGGCAGTGGGTGTGGGTCAAGGCAGAGCGGGAAGGGGAGGAGGGGTTTGGAGGGAAGCAGCGATCGTGGGGCTGCCATTGGTGGAGCGGCTGCTGCAGGGCCAGGCGAAGGAAAGAAGCAGTGCCGTGGCGAGGGGACAGGGGGAGGACAGCAGGCAGAGAGGGGAAGAGGGAGGGGAGCAGGGAGGAGAGGCGAGAGGGGAGCATGGAGGGGAAGCGAGAGAGGGGCAGGGAGGGGGGCAGGTAGGGGATGAGAGGGTGGGGACAGTGAGTGTGCCGGGGGGAAGCGGCAGCGGAGGGGGGGTGTTCATGCTGTCACACCGCTGTGTGGCGGACAGGCCGGCTGGGCAGTGCAGCCTGTGCAGCATCGTTTCTGACCTCGTCAAAGAGCTGGGGGGAGGGGCTGCTGGGGGAGGTGCTGCTGGGGGAGGTGCTGCTGGGGGAGGCGCTGCTGGGGGAGGGGGTGCTGCTGGGGGAGGTGCTGGTAGGGGAGGGGGTGCTGCTGACCTCATCAAAGAGCTGGGGGCGCCTAGTGATGGGGGGGGGCAGGGCAAGGAGCTGAGCGCACCTGGCGATGCGGCGCGTGCAGGAGGCGAGGTGGGGGGTGATGGGAGAGAGGTGCGCACTGGAGACGAGGCGAGGGGCACTGAGGGTGAGATGTCCGGTCCGAGAGGGGAGGAGGGTGGGAATGCTGTTGGAGGGGCGGACGGGGCGGACGGGGCGGCCAATGCAGGTCAAGGGGCAGTCAATGCAGGTCAAGGGGCGGTCAATGCAGGTCAAGGGGCGGTCAATGCAGATCAAGGGGCGGTCAATGCAGGTCAAGGGGTGGGTTTGAGTGGAGGGAAGGAGTTGTTGGGTCCAGGCCGGAATGTGAGTGCTGGATGGGATATGAGTGACGACGAGGCGTTGAGTGAGGGGACAGGAATCGTATGCTTGAGGGACGATGGGGTTATTGTGTTTGAGGGGAGAGATTTGAGTATGGGGGAGGAAGGCACTTCTGAGGGGGAAGGGGATGTGACTCTGGGGGAAGGGGATGTGGCTATGGGGGAAGGGGATGTGGCGGATGTGCCTATGGGGGAAAGGGATGTGGCTATGGGGGAAGGGGATGTGGCTATGGGGGAAGGGGATGCGACTGTGAGGGGAGGGGACTTGAGCAGTAAGGAGGGAGAGACACGTGGGAAGGAAGGAGATACGAATGGGAAGGAAGGAGAGATGAGTGGGAAGGAGGGAGAGAAGAGTGGGAAGGAGGGAGAGAAGAGTGGGAAGGAGGGAGAGATGAATGGGAAGGAGGGAGAAACGAGTGGGAAGGGGGGAGAGACGAGTGAGAAGGAGGGAGAGACGAATGGGAAGGAGGGAGAGACGAGTGGGAGAGGGGAAGAGACGAGTGAGAAGGAGGGAGCGACAAATGGGAAGGAGGGAGAGACGAGTGGGAAGGGGGGAGAGACGAGTGGAAAGGAGGAGGAGACGATTGGGAAGGAAGGGGAGACGAAGTGGAAGGAAGGAGAGATGAACGGGAAGGAGGGAGAGACATGTGGGAAGGAAGGAGAGCCAAATGGAAAGGAGGGAGATGTGAGTGGGAAGGAGGGAGCTGTGAGTGGGAAGGAGGGAGAGACGAGTGGGGAGGAGGGAGAGACGAGTGGGGAGGAGGGAGAGACCAGTGGGAAGGAGGGAGAGACGAGTGGGAAGGAGGGAGATGTGAGTGGGAAGGAGGGAGAGACGAGTGGGAAGGAGGGAGAGACGAGTGGGAAGGAGGGAGAGACGAGTGGGAAGGAGGGAGAGACGAGTGGGAAGGAGGGAGAGACGAGTGGGAAGGAGGGAGAGACGAGTGGGAAGGAGGGAGAGACGAGTGGGAAGGAGGGGGAGACGAGTGGGAAGGATGGGGTCAAGGCCTTGGGAATAAGCGATATGACTGCAAAGGACGGTGAAAATGTAGGAGGCACAAAAGGAGACAAGCAAGTAGAAAGCGATCGAGACAAGGAAGAATGCATGAGTCCAGGGGCAGTAGAGGTGCAAGTGGTTGCATTGACAGGTCGTGAAGACTAGCCAGGTGCTGATGATGGTCAAGGGGGGGAATGATACTGGTGACGTGGCAGTCAACGACAGTGGAGAACCGGTCATTGGTAGTGGAAGTGTAGAGGGCGCAAGGGCTAACAGTGAGGGTCAAACTCCAGTCGGCAAGGGTCAGCGTGTTGTCAGTGATGGTGAGAGGGGTTTAGGAGGCCATCCAACTTGGACAGAGGAGGGTGGAGGGGGAGGGAGGGGGGGGGGGGGGGAGGGAAGCAAGTGCAGGGCACGCAGATCACGGTGAAGGAGTTTGGTGAGGAAAATTATGCAGCCATCAAGTGGTGGTCAGGACCTTGTATATTGGACTCAAGTGGACCAACGGTATGAATAAATAGCAACTACTATTATCGCCTGGATAGTAGACATGTTGTACAGTGTCACCCAGGATATAGGAGCAGGCTTATGATAAGCGCACGCGCTTCTATCTGGAGCACTGCACTTACCGTATTACCCCGGATAGAAGCGCAGGTGCGCTTACAATAAAACAGTGTTTTTTAGGGGGGTGCGCTTCTAATTGAGTCATTTTTATAAGCGCATGGAAGGATAAAATTCACTTTTAAACATACCAAATTGAAGCCCGCAATAAGGCGAATTCAACCGACCATGCAACACGTGGGATCGTGCATGGTTTTCAGGCAAAAACAGCAGCGGTTCGGTTTCCCACCGCACAGTTTTGTCTAGAACCATCGAACGTGACAGCAGTGACTGGGATGTTGCCGTGCGGCCCAATCACAGCCGCATGCCCTGCGTGGCATGTGCATTTCTTCCGAACCCTCTCGAAGGGTGGGGAAGATTCCCTGCCAGCGCTGCGTTTATGTTGCCACGCAGGGTCCTCTATGGGGGTAGGCGGGGGTTTCCCGCCTGACATAGACGAGGACCCCGAGGCGCCAACCTTACGGGGTCCCCTTCGTTGCCCATTTGTGCACCCTCTTGTTCATTTTTTTTTATTTTTTTTTTTTTTTTTTTTTTTTTTTTTTTTTCATTCAGATTCAAGTCTAGGCCGCCTTGTTAGAATAGTAGCTTGACTTAGGAACCATGGCTTGGGTTCAGGGCATTAGTGTCGAGAGGATTTTGGGTGAGGAAAGTCGAGAAGGAAGAATGAGTGGTTACACTATAGAAAGTTGGGATACAAATAGCAAACCCTAAATTGGGTTGCACTCACTACAGAGTACCCCACTGTAGGCTAAACAGCAAATACATTCTGACACACCCCCATAGTCAAAGTGGGGTATAATCAGCAGAGCAAGCAGTCATAGAGCAGGTTCACAAGTACAAGCAAAGCTAGAGGCATTCACAAAGGGCAAGTGAGGAGGAGGAGGCTGGACTGTGAGAGCAGAGGAGATAGGAGGCAACGGCTGATGCTGCAGACACACGGGCAACAGGAGCGGCGCGCACTATGGCTACCGGGGCTGTATCCCCGGACTACAGGAGTAACTGGCTCTGCGACTAACTCTGAGCGGCAGGAGCAACGGACCCACAGGCGACAGGCGCAGCAGGCTCTCTGAGCTACCAGAAGCAGAGCCCCGGACTACAGGTGCTGCGGACTACAAGACGGCAGCCTCCGCTCAACCTCCCCCAACTGTCCCACCCCCCTTACACACACCCCTTGCTGCACCCCTAGCTCCACTCCCACGTCACCCCCCTAGCACCACTCCCTCGGCTCCCACACACCCACCCCCCTCAGCGGCAGCTGCAGCAGTGGGAGACGAAGGTGGAGGAGGAGGAGGGGACGGTTCACACACCCGCCACCCCCATACCCGCCACCCCGCAGTTGCAGCCACACCCGCCACCCCCATACCCTCCCCCCACTGCTGCACCTGCAGCAGGGGATGGAGGAGAAGGGGGGGGGGCTGGTGCTGCAGATCCCCTCCCCCCACTGCTGCACCCGCAGCAGGGGGAGGTAGGAGAAGGGAGAGGGGGGGGGGGGCGGGGGGGGGGGGGCTGGTGCTGCAGATCCCCTCCCCCCCACTGCTGCTGCAGATCCCCTCCCCCCCACTGCTGCACCTGCAGCAGGGGGATGGAGGAGAAGTGGGGGGGGGGGGGGGGCCTGGGGGGGGGCTGGTGCTGCAGATCCCCTCCTGCCTCCCCCTGAACCTCCAAGCTCCCCCCCCCTCCCAACACAGGGTGCGGCAGGGAGAGAGAGAGGAGAAAAGGGCGGGGGGGGGGAGGGGCTGATGCTGCAAATCCCCTCCCCCCACTGCTGCTGCAGATCCCCTCCCCCCCACTGCTGCACCCGCAGCAGGGGTGGAGGAGAAAGGGGGGGGGGCGGAGGGGGCTGGTACTGCAGATCCCCTCCCCCCCCACTGCCACACCCGCCACCCCCATACCCGCCACCCCGCAGTTGCAGCCACACCCGCCACCCCCATACCCTCCCCCACTGCTGCACCTGCAGCAGGGGATGGAGGAGGAGGAGGGGGGGGGGCGGGGGGGGGCTGGTGCTGCAGGTCCTCTCCCCCCACTGCCGCATCCGCAGCAGGGGGATGGCAGATCCCTTCCCCCCCACTGCTGCACCCACAGCAGGGGGAGGTAGGAGAAGGGTGGGGGGGGGGGGGGTGGGGGTGTTGCTGCAGATCCCCTCCTGCCTCCCCCTGAACCTCCAAGCTCCCCCCCCTCTCCCACCACAAGGTGCGGCAGGGAGAGAGAGAGGAGGAGGCGTGGCGGCAGCTGCTGCTGCTGAGGCACATCCGCCACCCCCTCACACCCTCTTCCCGCCATCCCCATGGAGGGGGGGGAGGTGGGGGAGGGGGGGGAGGGGGGGGAGGGGGGGGAGGGGGGCGGGGGCGGAGCTGCGCGTGCGACTGTAGGGCACGCGGGCAGGAGGAACCCCCTCTTGCCACCCCCTCACCCACCATGTTGCAACAGGGCACCGGGGCCGCGGTTAGGGGCGGCAGGTCGCGAGGGGCCATGGCTAGGGGCGACGGGGCCATGGCTAGGGACGGGGCCTGGCGCTGGGCAGGTACGGGGCCGGGTGCTGAGCTAGGGACGGGGCCGGGTGCTGGGCAGGTACGGGGCCGGGCGTTGGGCATGTACGGGGCCGGGCGCTGGGCAGGTACGGGGCCGGGCGCTGGGCAGGTAAGGGGCCGGGCACTGGGCAGGAACGGGGCCGGGCGCTGGGCAGGTACGGGGCCGGGCGCTGGGCAGGTACGGGGCCGGGCGCTGGGCAGGTACGGGGCCGGGCGCTGGGCAGGTACGGGGCCGGGCTCTGGGCAGGTACGGGGCCGGGCGCTGGGCAGGTACAGGGCCGGGCGCTGGGCAGGTACGGGGCCGGGCACTGGCAAGAGACGGGGCCGGGCGCGGGCAGGGTACGTGGCCGGGCGCAGGCGAGGTACAGGGCCAGGCGCTGGCTAGATACGGGCCGGGCGCGGGCTAGGTACGGGGCCGGGCGCTGGCTAGGGTCGGGGCCGTGCGCTGGGCTAGGTACGGGCCGAGCGCGGGCGAGAGACGAGGCCGGGCGCGGGCAGGGTACGGGCCGGTCGCGAGGCTAGGTACGAGCCGGGCGCGGGGCTAGGAACAGGGCCGAGCGCGGGCAGGGTACGGGCCGGTCGCGAGGCTAGGTACGGGCCGGGCGCGGGGCTAGGAACGAGGCCGAGCGCGAGGCTAGGTACGGGCCGATCGCGGGCTAGGTACGGGGCCAAGCGCGGGCGAGGTACGGGCCGGGCGCGGGGCTAGGAACGGGGCCGAGCGCGGGCTAGGTACGGGCCGAGGGGCGCGGCTAGGGGCGACGGGGCCAACGGGGCCGAGTGTCACAGCTAGGGGCGACGGGGCCAAGGGGCCGGGCCTAGGGGCTAGAGCTACGCCAAGGGGCGACGGGCCGGGGCCTAGGTTAGCAGGGCATTAGGTGGTGGGCCCATTGATGTGAGGTCCTAGTAACGACCTACTCTGATAGCATGTTAGAATAGTAGCTTGACTTAGGAACCATGGCTTGGGTTCAGGGCATTAGTGTCGAGAGGATTTTGGGTGAGGAAAGTCGAGAAGGAAGAATGAGTGGTTTCACTATAGAAAGTTGGGATACAAATAGCAAACCCTAAATTGGGTTGTACTCACTACAGAGTACCCCACTGCAGGCTAAACAGCAAATACATTCTGACACGCCTGGCTGGCGAAGCCATGGCGGAATTCAGCGGGACGCATTTCCTCTTCAAGAAAAAACCAGCTCGCCCGTGGCGACTTACCGACGACGGGTGGTATACCCGTGAGCCAGCAGCGCCTCTAGTGCTACCTGAACCCCCTGCGCCCCCTGCTCCTCCTGCTCCTCCTGCACCTCCTGCTCCTCCCGCTCCTCCCGCTCCTCCCGCTCCTCCGAATCCGCCTGATATCGGTGCCAGTGCTCACCAACGGCCCGTGCTCCAGCTGTATTTACCAGCCACTTTCGACAAGTGGCTGTCTGAACTGGACACACCCAAGACCCCCGATGTGTTCATCCAGGCTCCGCCGCCTGCACCACGGTGGGGACAGCCTGAAGCCTGCACGTGGGACGAGTCGGCTGTGGGCGCCGACGATGACGTGGCCGCCGATAAACAAAACAGCGGCAACAGCGACGGTGTCGGCGACGGTGAAGCGGGCGCCGAGGAGGACGTGTTCCCAGATCGTGGTGCAACTGCCGAGGACGACGACGGTGTGGAGTCATGGTGGCGCGACGCACCACGCGAGAAGATGCTGATACCGACGTATCCGCCGATTAACAAAAAACGACCCCACCCCTCCTCCCAAAACCGAGATGCCCACCCCCCCTCTCCCAGGCACAAGCCGTCTCAACATAAACGGCAGTCCTACACCTCCCAGGAGAAACTCAGGTGGCTCGTGCGGCTGGAGCTGGCGGCATCGATAAGCGAGGTCGCACGGGAGTCCGACATATACCGCAAATGCCTGACGGAGTGGAAAGCGAACAAGAGCCCCAAAGCGAGTGTTCGCCAGCAGTACCGGTCCTGGTTTGAGGCGGACAGCATGAACATTCTGACATCTGCAGGTGAGCGACGACATGTCCTCCCGTCTCCCCTTCGTGTGCTTGTCTGTCTACTTGTGGACTAATGTGTTCCCCACTCCCTTTCATGTGGTGCAGGGAACATCAAGAAACCACCCCCGGCGGTGGTGCTCAAGTGGATTTCACGGGCTTGGAAGGCCGTGCCCGCCGACCTGATTAAGAAAGCCTTCCTCACGTGCGGCATCAGCAATGCCCTTGACGGGAGCGAAGACCATCTGGTGATGGCACACCGGAGAAGCCAGCTGAGCTACGAGGTAGAGGTAGACGACGACATCCAAGCAGATGGGTTCTGGGGCAACAACGCCACGGAGCCTGAATCGGACGTGGAGGAAGAGCAGGCCTAAGGCTAGACTAGGCAAGATGATGGTGTTTAGGCTAGGACAATAGTCACCATATTGTATGTGAAACTTTTAGCTAGTGCAAAATTACAACAAATGAAGGCTAGCCTTCGTTTAGCTCTAACAATAATGAGAAATATTCAACAAGTACATTTTTTTTTTTACTGCAAGGGTGCGCTTATAATAAGTAACGATTTTATAAGGGGTGCGCTTCTAATTGAGGATCGGCCATAAGCTCATTGCTCCATATATAAGCACATGCGCTTTTAATAGGCCTGCGGTTATATCCGGGGCGATACGGTATATACAGTCCTTGGTTATAAGTGTCAGAATGTTATGTTTGTCTAGCCTGCAATGGGGTACTCAATAGTGAGTACAGCCCAATCTAGGGTTTGCTATATGTACTCAACTGCTTGCTAGTGCAACCCCTTCTTTTGCTCATTCTCTCTTGCCTGGCTAGCTAAACCCTAGCCATGGCTCCTCATTCTGTCTACTATCTTAACATGGTATCAGAGCTGTTACGCTCATGGCCTGTGGGCCCACCTGCTTCCGCTGCTTTCCTGTCTGTCGCGTGCCCCGTGGCGCGCGACGCTGTTTTTTCTTCCCGCCACGCGCTCGGGGTGCGCGGCGGTTTTCTGCCCGTCGGGCGCCCCGTGGCGCGCGGCGGTGCCCTGGCCCGGCCTCGCCCCGGCCCTGCCCCGTCGCCCGTCGCGACCCCGTCGCGGCCCCCCGTCGCGGCCCCCCGTCGCGGCCCCCCGTCGCGGCCCTGCCCCGTCGCCCGACGCCGCCCCGTCGCGGCCCTGTCGCGGAGCTGCCCCGGCCCTGCCCTGTCGCCCGCCGCGGCTCTGTCGTGGCCCCGTCGCGGCCCCGTCGCGTCCCCGCCCCGGCCCTGCCCCGTCTCCCGTCGCGGCCCCGTCGAGGCCCCGCCCCGGCCTTGCCCCGACGCCTGTCGCGGCCTTGTCGCGGCCCCGTCGCGGCCCCGCCCCAGCCCTTTTCCCGTCGCCCGTCGCGACGCCGCGCGGCCCCTCAGGTCGCCTCGACAGGCGACGGGAGGGGCGACCTGGGGGGGGGGCGCGCGTCGCCCCTTCTGCCGCCTGTTCTGGCGCCCTGGCAGGCCGCGCGTCGGCCCCTGTAATCCCCCCCCCCCCCCCCGTAACCTCCCTACCCGCCATCCCCCCCTGCCCTGTGTTAGGGTTTGGGGGTGGCGAGTAGGGGGTGGCGGGTGTGTGGACTCCCCTGCTCCTCCTCCTCCTCTGTCTCCCACTGCTGCAGCTGCCGCTGAGGGGGGTGGATCTGTGGGAGCCAAAGGAGTGGTGCTAGGGGGTGGGGTGTGAGTGAACCTAGGGTGCAGCAGGGGGTGTGTGAAATGGGGGTGGGATAGTTTGGGGAGGTTGAAGGGGGGGCCACCGTGAAGCCCGCAGCTCCAGTCGCCCGTGAGACCGTTGCGCCAGTCGCCCGTGAGCCCGTTGCGCCAGTCGCCCGTGAGCCCGTTGCTCCAGTCGCCCGTGAGTCCGTTGCTCCTGCCGCTCAGAGTTAGCCGCGGAGCCAGTTACTCCAGTAGCCCGTGTGCCAGTTGCTCCAGTTGCCAGTGTGCCAGTTGCTCCAGTTGCCCGTGTGCCAGTTGCTCCAGTTGCGCCGTGTGCCAGCAGCTTCAGCTGCCGCCCACTACCTCCTCTCCTCTCATAGTCCCTCTTCCTCCACACTTGCCCTCTGTGATAGCCTCTAGCTTTGCTTGCATTTGTGAACTATAAACTGCTACTTCTTGTACTTGTGCTCAGAATGTGTGGTGACTTTGTGATCCACCCTGAGCTTGTTTTTTGCTTGCTTGTTGTGCTGATTACACCCCACTTTGGCTATGGGGGTGTGTCAGAATGTTATGTTTGTCTAGCCTGCAGTGGGGTACTCAATAGTGAGTACAACCCAATCTAGGGTTTGCTATATGTACTCAACTGCTTGCTAGTGCAACCCCTTCTTTTGCTCATTCTCTCTTGCCTGGCTAGCTAAACCCTAGCCATGGCTCCTCATTCTGTCTACTATCTTAACAATAAGCACAGGGTAAAATTTTGCTCGACTTATTGTAAGCGCATGTAAAATTTTATTTGAAAAGCTGTCCTAATTGTAACGATTTTTTCTTATTGGCAAGTGATACATACATTGATATAGCGGGTGATCAATATCAACACTGTGCATGAGAGGCAGCTATGTGGCCACCTCAAATGGGTCTTTGTTACGGATGCAATGGAACGAGATAGCAAGGATTGCACTAGGTTGTCAAACGAGTACAAGTATGAGCGAAGGCATGAGCGAATACTTATGTGCGAAACATGCAACGGTTACGCGGTGCGTGCGAGCTAGGTATTGCTAGGCTGGCATCGAGGTTCGGGCTAGTCCCGAAGCGTAGGCCGACACGGCCGGCCAGCGGTGCATGGTTTGGTCAATAGTGCGCGCGAATGTTGGCGAAGCCCCGTTAGCAGTAACGGGCGAACAACAGTTGCTGCTGTACGCAATGTTGCAGAACGCGGTAAGGAATGCCGAAAAAATCCTTACACTACCCCCCCCCCCCCCCTCAAGAAGCCCCCTCCGCTATGCGAGTGCGTGTATATCGCAGATACCCCGGCTCCTCAGGTACACTTTTCGGGCAGGGTGGTTTTCGATGTTGGCCAGGGGCACCCAGTCATATTCAGTTGGCGTGCGGTCCTTCTAGCGAACGAGGAACTCGATCCTCTTGATGCCCGTTGGGTGACGAATCCGATGGCTCAGAATCTTCTCGGGCTCGACGATCGGCCCCGATGCAGGGCAAGTCATGGAAGGTGGGCGATGGCGTGCCAGTTGGCTTGTGGTTGGGATATACGGGGAGACAAAAAGCGGGGAGACGGACGGAGTCGCAGGTGCGTGGGCGAACGCGCTGGTGGGCTGCTGGTGGTGGCGCTGGCGGATGGCGCTGGTGGTGGCACTGGTGCTGGTGGTAGTGCTGGCAGTAGTGCTGGCGGTAGGCGCTGGCGGGTCCGACGGCGAGTCCGACGGCGGGT